ACAGGGCAAGGCATACAGGGAGCGGATCATGCCTGTCCCACTTCTGAACACTGCTCCCCACCCACCCAAAGCTCCATAGGGGGTTTTGATGAGTTGTTGGAGGGGCGGGATGCTGACCCAGCCCATGACAGCTCATCAAAACTCCCTATGTGGCCCTCAGGCCTAAATAATTGCCCCTGCTTTAAGGTTATCATATAACAACAGCTTTTCACTGATTTTTAAAACCAAGAGGCAGCAGATATAAAATTATTCCAATGTCCTTTCCTGTCTGTAGGTAAATGTTATTGAGGCTTGAAAAATGAGGCCTACATGAGTGACCTTTTTTTGACCATATGAAAATGTAAGGATTATTCTAGTGATTTCTTACTTACTTTTTGCCATATACATGAAATGGTGAAAGGAAATGCTTTGATTATAGAACTGTAACAGTGGCAGAAACATAAATAACCATTTTAAGAGGTTATTACTATCATCTATTATGACATAATTGCTTTAGCAAAAATACCTATTCTTAAGAAATTCCGGTAGAGTAGCTGTAGGATGGTTTAATGACTATGTTACTGTTGTTCTTATTCAAATGTAATTGTTAACCAGCTATGATAGCAAATTGGTTGTTTACTATTAGCTCAGAACAGTTTCTTAAAGATCACCATGAACACACTACATTTAAAATGTACATGAAACATTAATCACTGACCTCATGCATAACATGTGCAAGAAACAAGGCAAAATAAAGACAAGATTCCTCTTCTGTTATGCAAAATACGTGACTACAGGGGTGTATGTGTTAGCATACATGAATCTCAAGAGACTTCTCCACTCATTAATTTACCAAAGCAAGACTGAAGTAACATAAGACGTTCCCATTTCTTTTCCTCACCACAAACTACCTCAATATGTGCTATTATCGGCATATTGCCTGCAAATGTTGTACCACAGAAATGGATCATGGACACTGAGTGGAATTAAAGAGTAGCTACCTAGTTATTAAATCGTGGCTACAAATGACTTGATATGATCTGAAGTCAGGATTACAAATGATCTAGATTACAAACATATAAACAGATTTGCAAGATGAATTTTAAAGTTGCCATGTAGAAAGGAAATGTCTCTAATCTTTCTGAAGTTGGGTCGGAAGTGCCAGGAAGGATTTTGTTATAGTTGTCAAGCCTCTGGGTTAGCAATGAATAATGCCCAACTGAAACTACAGTTTAAACAACTACATTTGCTTAAGGGTTTTTCACCCACCAAAATGCCCATCAAAGTCTAGATTAAAGGTCAAGGATGATTCTTTGAAATTGTTTAGCAATAGTTGTCCAGTTATGCCATGACACATTGGAAAGAGTTACAAATGACTGTATACTAAGAGGTTATATAAATAGTGTTCTGCATTCTCAGTTTTTAACGATTTTTCATTGATAAATTCCCTTATTATTTTTTAAGTCATTCAGTTTTTACTGATCTACACCCATTTTTCAGTTCAAATCCCTGTTAACTGGCATGAGTGGGGAATGGCCCTGGGGAATGGCCCATTCCCCACTCATGTCAGTTACAGGGATTTTAACTGAAAAACTGGTGGTGCTGGTAAGCTAAAAGTGCTGCTGTGCCAGTTACCTGAGGCACAGGTTTCCAGCAGGACATGGGGTGGGGTGGTGGCAGCAGCCACGTGGGGGGTGGGGGCCAGGGGAGGGTGGCTGGAGCTGCTTTCTGGGGGGTGCAGGGCTCCTGACTCTGACCCTGGGTGAGGCAGGATGGGCCACAGTAATCGATCCTGGGGCAGGTGGGTCTAAACTGCACCCTGGCAGCTCTGACTTCAGCCCTGCCCCAGGCTCTGGGAGCTGGGAGCCCCACCGGGGGCGGGGGGCAGGCAGGAAAGCTTGGCCCCATTCCCTGTGGTGGGCACTGTACCCAGCCACTCTGTACAGGCTCGCCGGGCTGGAGCCCACGGCCCGGGGCCCGGCTCTGACCGCAGGCGGGGCAAGAGGTGCCGGGGTTGAGGTCTGGGTCCCCACCTCCACTTCCGGCCATGCGCCACTACCCCCTCCTCCCAAACGCCAGGGCAGCCCAGCAGCAGGCTGCTGCAGCAGGGGGGAGGTTCGTGAATGCAGCCAGGGAAGAAAGACAGGGCACGGTGGCATGTGCTTCCTGCCACTGATCCGGGGGCATGTGCCCCCTGGGAAGAGCCTAGCACAGGTCCCCCAGCTCGCAGCCCTCCTGGGCATGTAGCAGCAAGAGCCGCTCCTACCTGCCCCGCACCCAGTGACAGCTGCCCCTGCTTCATTCCCTGCTGCAGCTCCGGGAGCAGCCAAGGGGCTGCACCATGCCCCTCCCCCCGTCCCTTCCCTAGTCCCAGCCTTACTCCCTCCATCACCACCAATTTTTTCCCCCGATTTAAGCTGATTTTTTTCCTTTTCTTCCTTTTATCCTGATTTCATCCTGGTTTTTATGTTTTGAAGATAAACCCCCAAAAAATCCCAGATTTTTTTTTTTTTTTTAATAAAAACTTAGAATGCAAAACACTATATATAAACAGTGAAGATCAAGGAAAAACAGGAAAATCCTGACCACTTCTCCCAAGGATAGGGCAAATGTGATAGTTAACAAAGTCAGGGCTAGAACCTACTTGTCCAGTTGTGGGGATTGCGTGCAGTTCCTGAATTCTACTTCTGTCCACTTTTAGGGCTGATTACAGGAAAGATTTGAACAGTGTATCCATATTTACAAGGAGGCCCGTGGCAGAGCAGGTGCACTGTAGCTACAAGTTTGGAGGGAGAATTCAGCCTCTGAGGGTACAGTGTGTGTTAGCCAGACAACCCTGACTGCTGGTTAGCTGGTCCTACACACGCTCCAAAAAGTGTGCCAGTGAAGATGCTTCTGAATTGTCTCTAGTGGCTGCTCTTAAGCACGCCCAAGAGACTTGAGAATGGCTACCTGGCACAACCCTAGAGCATTTTTGCTGGTGTTTCTAGGTTGAGAGAGAGCAGATGGGCAAGATGTGTTCACTGCTGTCCAGCTAGCACTCACTGCACCACATGTAGCTATGCCCTGACTCAATCTCCTTTGCAACCCATTCCCTCATTGGGCTCTAAATAAGAAAAGGTAGCAATGTTTCCAAAAAACCCACTATGATTCTCTTCTTCATTGGAAACTGGAAGTCTCCATCTATACTATGTTAATATAGGTGTCTGGCTAGGTATTTGGTCTGTGTTGAGATATCCACAGAAAGAGGAATTTTGTTTTGTTTTGTTGTGTGTTTTTTCTTCTGGTAGGCACCAGTTTAGTGAAGCATTTTAAATATGTGCCTAACTTCAGGTGTGTGAGCAGTTTTATCTAAATCAATGGAATTTAAGTATCTTGCTGAATCAGAATCTTAATGCTGGCCCTTATCAACCATTTCCCTTCCTTTCTGTCGCATCAGAAACCTTTGTTTGTGGTGGTGATGTCATCCATTGAAGAAAGGAAAAAGGAAAAGAAATAAAATGGCCTTGGTCCTCTGGCACAGACCAGTTCATTCAGTGCAGGGGATAGGGTGTCTTTTCTTCCTAGCAGGCAGGACATTGAGCCAGATCCTGTATCAGTATATGCGTACCAATCCCATTCATTTTAGAGAGTTCCATGTACCCAAAGGAACAATTTGACTTATAACTAGAAGGATTCATAGGCGTTTTAATGATGGGCATTCACTTGTTTTGTTGCTCATGGGCTTGGGCAAATTATTGCTTCTCTGAAGAATTCACTGCAGCAGCTGAATTTAGAAGAAAGAAACAGCATTTATTCATAAATGAATTTATGGAAGAAATGTTTTTTTTTCCATATAAAAATGAAACACTTGCACCCTTTAAATCTATGGCAATTGTTGATAGGTATAGACCAGCCTCTTCTTCCCTCCCTACTGGTGGAAGAGAATATGGTAGTAGGCCAAGGTTTAATTACTGCTTCAGAGAAATAATATTCAACATGTGTTATATTTCCTGGCAGGCTGACTTAAACTGCAACATTCAAGATGACACAGGAGCATTTTATGGAGTAACCAGCCAGTATGAGAGCTCAGAAAATATGACAATCACCTGTTCCACCAAAGTCTGTTCATTTGGGAAGCAAGTAGTAGAAAAAGTAGAGGTAAGGTTATCCACTGGTTGGAGTTCTTCTGTTGGCTCCTGATTATGTAGTTCTGCCAAGATAATTTCAGTACAAAATGGATGACTGATTTTCTTTGTTTTACTTAGTGGTCTTATCTCTTCAGTCCCTGGTCCCCCCCCCCCCCCCCCCCCCCCTCCCTCCGTACTTGGTTAGTTTAAATTACTGTGATACTAGTGACAGTAAAATCCCAGTTACGTGCTGACTTAGAAGTACCTCTTCTATCCTTCCTCTGGCAACCGCTATCATCACAGCTTCTTATCTTCAGCTGGGGAGCCTGGAGCTGACATCAGTGCTGCTTCCTACATCGCCTGGCAGAAGAGCAATGAAGCAAAGATAGATTTACTCCCATTTTCAACTGGATGTGTCATCTTCATGATGCTTCAAACCAGCACCTGTAGCCTGTTTGGAATCTTACTAAGGTGGCAAGCAACCCTCCACTGCCTAGATATCAGAGCATTTCTAAAAATTTAGTGGTGTGATGTGTTTCTTCTATGCCCAAACTAATTTAACCCAATGAAATGCACTTTCTTCAAGTGACAGTGGCTTTGGCACAAAAAACAATTTTGTATAGTTGTTCTTTCTTTTGGATACTAGAGCCTTTTATGACATAGTCCTGTTTAGTTAAGTCAGGTAGTGGGGCTTACTGTACTGTGAGCTACAGTAACTACAATGCAGTTGTTGTTTAGGAACTTCTAATTTACAGATGTAATCAAAGCATTTTTAAATGCACGTATTGCTGTCCACATCCTGTTTTATTATTTATCCCCCAAAATACTGACTACCAAAGAGCAACATGTTTTGCTCTGCTACTCCAAACCTTGAAGAATTCATAAGTTAAGAAGTCCATCCAGCTATTGAGAAGAACAGTTTATCATGACAGTAGGTAGTTAGAGAGGTGGAGAGCAGGAAAACTAAATCACAGCTCCATCTCTGCTCATCCCAGTGGGATCTGTTGAGCTGTGGGTCAGTCTGTCCTTCTTCTTTTCATCACGGTTGACTGTCTTCCTGTTATTCACATACTTACCTATTCAATTATGTAATACATTCTGACAAATCTGGTGTGTATGTGTGTGCGCGCACGTGTGTGTGTGTGTGTGTGTGTGCATATAAAAATACTGTCTCTTAAGTCCTTTGAACCAAGTTACCTTTAAGCTGCTTGAAAGTCATACAAGACAAATTTTGATACCAAGTTTACTTCTTAATTCATGATTCTTCACTGCAAGCCTATTTTTAATGGTCCATATTGACGTATATAAATCATGAACTGAAAACAAACCAGGATTTCCTATTTGAGACCTATTTTCCTAAATCAGTACATGGAAGGAGACTTGGGTGACTAAACCAACATTAGCAAACAACAGCTCCATATTCTCCTTGTTATTTCCAAACTAAGAAAGAGAACAGAACCCAAGACTTAGCATTCCCCCTCTTGGCTGCTATAGAAATACTTTTTGTTATAAATATTTTTTTTTAAATTTTTTGTTTTTTATTCAGACGGAATATGCAAGGTTTGAGAATGGCCGATTCGTGTACAGAATAAATCGCTCTCCGATGTGTGAATATATGATCAACTTCATACACAAGCTCAAGCATTTACCAGAGAAATATATGATGAACAGTGTGTTGGAAAATTTTACAATTTTATTGGTGAGGATTCGTTATTCTTTACTGCCTTTTACTAAATTATTTCTGTATTTCTGTGGGTTGCAGAATTTAGAACTGGGTTGTAAAGTCCTTACTAGAGAATAGAAATTTACTACATAAATTGTCCCATGGGCATGGACTTAGGTGCTGTTGAACCTGAGGTCACAAAGGAATAGCAGGGACGACAGAATAGGCAGACCTCTTAGTTATTTTCCAGATACTTATCTTAGGTTTTATCCATTTTTAAAAGCAAGTCTCATGTCATGGCAACCCTACTTTGCATAAAGCTTTCTTCAGTGGGTGCTAACTCAGATGCCACTGATGATACTGTGAGGTCCCTGTCAGACGTTACTACTTAATGAAGTCTTATGTAGTAACCCCACCACAACTTCATACAGATAATGGCACAATAAAACAGGGAATAAGCCACAAAGTTATTACATACATTATCCATAATAACTTTATGGCTGGTTCCCATCATGCCTTAAATTAAATATATGGCCAGCACTTGTCTGCTGATGAGCATTCCCAGCATCACAAGCACACTGAAGCTGCCTCAAAGCCTCTAAAACGCTCCCTGTGGCTGGGAGTGTTGATCAGCTGAATGGCTTTCTGAGCCACAGGCTCCCCAAGTTCCTGGCTTGCTACTTGCCCATTCAGGGGCTCCCCCTGCACTGGCAATAGGGTATGATTGGGATCTAATCCTACAGTTGCATCTGATACCATACACATGTGGCTTGGCAGGAGGTACAATTGGTAGGATCGTGGGTCAGATCCCATTGTACCTTTAACTGAAGATCTGCCAGTGGCCTAAGTGACAGTATTGTTAACTGTTTCACTGGCCATCAACTCATGTGAAAAAGAAGAGCATGTATTATACTACATAGATTGAAAATCTGGATGAGCTTCTAGCAGTGATGAGTAGAATTATTTTCACTTTCCCAAGGCCTGTTTCATGTTTAAGGAAAATCTTAGTTAAAACTTTTTTTCTCTTTTGCACTGAGGATGCCTTTTCTGTGGCACACTATTTTCCCAGGTTCATAACATAGTATCTACTTTTTCCTCCCAAATAGGTTGTAACAAACAGGGATACGCAAGAAACCCTACTCTGCATGGCTTGTGTATTTGAAGTTTCGAACAGTGAACACGGAGCACAACATCACATCTACAGGCTTGTAAAGGACTGAATGGTTATTTATATATACACTTCATTACACTTCTTTATCAAAACACAGACTGTAAACCTCAATACTAAGTGGCAGTGCCTCTGGCCCATCTTTCACCCACATTTTTCTAAATCCTGTTTTAGTGAAGTCATTTTTAATGTGTTCATATATAATTGTAGCTGTGAAATTCTGGTACAGTTGTAAAAAATTCTTTCTAAAACTAAGTATTCTTCAAATTTGTAAACCACAGTTCTTTGGGAAGACTGTATTTAAGAACCTAACACCTCTGTCTGTGGAGGTTTATTTTTAATTGTGATAGAAAAATGTATGACAGAGCAGTTGCCATGGGGAAAACGTACAGAATTTATAAGAATTTATTTTGTTTTTGTTTCCAAAAAAATGCTTGTTTTACGATGCAAATGAAATTGAAATGAATCCTAACTATAAATGTAAATTAGTACACAAAGTTAATAACCTTTATAGAATTATCTTTGTAACCAATTAGGGTGGAAGATATGGACGAATGTAATCACTAAATTTATTTTTTACAATGAAACATTTTTTCTGTTTGAAACCAAATGAAAAATACAGCCTTAAAAAAATGCCTGATAGAAACAGACAGGTTCTCAAATTAGGCAAATTTTGTATTTTTTTCTCAACATTGAAACTAATCTTTTAATCCAGTAAGCTTTCAAACAAGTATTGCAGAGAAAGAAAATATCATCCCTTATCCTTAACATATGTAGTGTATTTTAAAAGAATATAAAGTTGTATCGTACTAATAAGAGAATTTGATTATTTAATGAAAAAGATGGCTCATTTTGCAATAAGTAGTTAATTACTGAAAATTTAGGCCAACAATATATGTAGTCTTGCGTGTGCGATTATATTTTATATGGACAGCTATGTTTTCTATAAAATTGAGCGAAAACTTTGCAACACTGAAATTAACAAACGTAAGGGGAAATAATTGACATTATTACGTGTTGTGAATAATCTATCAATTAAACCAGTAATGTGGTTGAGAGAAGAATACATATGCCAGTAAAAGGCTTACCAGCTTTAATATCTTTGAGATGCTAGAAAAATCACAACCATCATCAGGTAAAAAGAGATTGGAGAGCTGGAGAGTTTTCTCCTTTTTCTTATTGCTCACAATGCTCTTCCACCTATACTATCCCACTATGCCCAGAGCCTCCAAAAGAAATGGTGCAATTGGAACTGTCAGGGGGAGCTTATAGGACACAGAAATTATTGTGACTTGGGGTCTGCTCTGCATTCACATTCAGAGCACACAGGTATGTAGCAGTGTTCATTCCTCTGGTGAATACATTAAGAAGTGGTTAATTCAGGGAAGATTCTGAATTGTTTATTAAAACCCACTGGAAGAGATTTTGATAGTAAGTAAGGATCTGAAATATGGACATGGGGGTGAGTGGTTAGCTAAGGTACATGTGTTGTTATACATACTTGTTTCTTACAGGCTAAACTGGTTTATATCACATTTCTGTTTTTCTTCTGTCTTTCAGCCACGCCCTTTCACTTTTATAGAAACACAGTCAGGATTAGGTTATAAGAGGGATATGTGTTCTAAAACGTGGCAGACTATCTGGCAAACTGCGCATCCTAATGGGCTGTCTCAAGCACTGGTTATGAGATAAGACACGTATTTCTGCTGCAGATGTTGAAAAACAGCATTGATTTGGAATGCTGTAGTTCTTGGCAAACCACAAATGGGTCATTGAAGATGTGTTCAGCAGTTCCCCACCCAACTGCCATTTCAAATACATGTCTGTGTGCAATTAGAGGCCTGGCTTCACCCCCAGGTAGAGTATTGTATACTTCAAAAAAGTCAGTCTTAATTTGTATGACACTGTAGCTCTGACTAGTACCCTCAGTTATCACTGTATGACCATTAATGAATACTGGCTAGGGGAGGGAATGGCATTTGTAATATGCAGCATGTAGCTGGTTGCTATAGGCCTGCATCAGATCATATTATGTTTAATGCTGTTAGGACTTACATTAGAGGAAGAGACTAACATCTGGATGAGGGCTGAGATTCCGTAGGCTATGAAACCTCAGATCTGACTGCAGTAGGTAGATGATTGCTGTGATGTTTAGCTGTCATATTATCTAGCCACTCATGGATGTTAGGGCTGATGAACCTTTTAGCTGTTTATATTTTGTGAATTGTAAATTTGATGTCCATAATAGGGTCTCTTAAGTTGCAACACTAACTCTCACATCAAGGAAAGCACTGCATTGTAACAGCCTAATGGTAGCCCTTTATTTTAAGCACTTGGTGTTACAAGTCAAACTAATTTTTTTTGTCTTCTGTTTTGTTTTGTTCTAAATTTGTCTCTTATTTAGGTTTTTGAATTGTGGTTTGGGTGGTTATTGTTTATATATATATTGATACAGAGATAGACATCTATATCTACAGGGATATAGATGTCTATATCTATAGAGATATAGCAAGCAAATTCCTTAAGGCGTATAAAATATCTAAATCATTTTGCAAAACCAGGTACTGTTCTTTTGTAAAATCTGGTACATTACATATGTCATAACTAGAAGGTATCAAAAGTCACAATGTTTATTGGTGTTCACATGTGTAATGTTAGAAAAAAAATATTTGCATTGTCTTTACTTTACATTTATGTAAGTGATCTAAACCCTGTACATGTTCATACTTAAAAGCCTTAAATCCTTCAAATGTTCAGTGTGGGGTGTGTAGTCCAAAAGGCTGCCTGTAAACTGTGAGCTCTTTTGTAAGCTGGAAGAATTTATCCTGTTACTGTTACTTTTTCTAGGAACTTTTTAATTCAGAGCTGCCAAAGCATTACAATATGCAGTGCCTTAGTGTTATATTAGCAGTACCTTTAGCCTCTTGCATCGATTTTCTATATTGTTTTATTAATTGGTCCCATTTAAAAAAAAAAAAAAATATATATATATATATATATATATATATTTCCCATAGAAAAGTCCTTTGACTACTGGTCTAAACCAACCTTCAGTGCAAGTCAGTCCCATTACTACACAGTTAAATGTCTATACCAAAATGAAAAGTTACAACTTAATAGTTTTCTGTGAAAAGTGAATTGTACTAATAATGCTGCCTTTTTAAATTTCATGACCAAATAATTAACTAATTGTGACTTCTGCACTCTAGCATGAAAGTGCCTTTGGTTTGAAATTCCAGCTTAGAAAAGTGCTGCCATAATAATGACAATTTGTAGAAAGACCAAAAATATTTAGTGATCACCGTAATGCCTTTGGTTTATTGGAATAAGTTAAACTACAGGCCTCCATTCACAAAAGAGCACCATTTATAGTAATGTGATTTTGCTAATCACCGGACTGAATAATGCTGGAAAATAATCTACATGTTGTTTAACTGTTTGTCAGAGTTTTGCAGCATTGCAAACCAGCAACTGATGTTTAGAATTTAAAACAGTCAGTGATTCCCATTTTTCATGTCTTCATTCAGTCTTGCATCTGAGTAACGTGACGTCCATATAAATTGCAGACCTTCAGAGAGTGGACAAGTGTGACTTTATTGTTCTCTTCTAATAATATTTCAGTATCTGTGAAGATCTTTTCTTTATACAAAATTTGTTTACAAAGTTGAGCCTCTGAAAGTTGGATGCACGAAATTTGAGATGAAAATGCAGAACAGAAATTAATTAGAATAATTGCATTTTAACGTGTTTTTTAGCATCAAAATGTTAAGCATAAGCATTATAGAAGGTGTTGTATGGAAAACTGGACAGCACTATTTGAAATGCGGGGTTTTTTGTTCTTTTTCCAAATGATGTCTCAGTGGAGGAAAAGCAGCTCCTTCAACTAATGTGTCTGGTTTTGACACCTTCTGTGAATTGGGGCCACACTTAACACAAGAAGTACAATTGATAGGACAAAGAGCAGGATTTTAAATAAATAACAAGAACAAATATCAGCAAAACCAAAAGCTGGCAGAGGAATTATATAGTTGTGCATACAATTTTAATGTGATTTTTTTTAAATACTTGATGAAAAATAAGATTAACTTTTTATATATAAATATTGTGACACTGTGGTAAATATTGTGATAATTCACGTTCCCCATCTCTAAAATATTATTTTTTGTTATTCCTCCAATGTCTGATTCTCATTTTCCTTCCTCACATAAGTTGTCCTGTTGTACTAAGGATGCTGAGGTAAGGCATGGGGGTTTGGGGCCCCAAAAGTACAGGATATATTTTCAGCTATTGTATGTAACAGCTGAAACAAACATTTGATAACAATGGTTATAAACTGCAGTTTATTGCAAAGTAAACTTAACTCTATTATTTGCTGTCTCATTATTAGCAATTAAAAGAATAATGGTACTATTAAAATTATTACTAACAAAGTAGTTTACTTACTTGAATTCCAAAATGATTTATTTAGGTACTGTACCACTATTTTGAAGAAATTACAAATATAATGTTTATTTTCTCACTTCCCTTCTCTACTGTAGTTACAACTCATTCCATTTGGCAATAGCTTCATAGTCAACAAATTCCTTGTTTTATATGATCTTAAATAACAAAAGGTGTGCATTAACATATAATGAAAGTAGCTGATAAATTTAAGTCAGATACTATATTTGACAAGCCAATCTCTATATATTTATTTTCCCATTCTAATTCCTAGAGTATGCTTGCTTTCTGAATCAACCCCCACAAAGTTTGAATGAGTCATTCATACCTGGAAATGTTTTGTGTAATATTTAACATGACATACATTAACCTATGTAGTCGTCCATCAATCAAAAGACATGCTAGCTGATATCAACCCAATTTCCTCCCCCTCTCAGGATGATCTCTTTTCCACCCTCATCTTTTGTTATCAGAATTTTATCCCCTAAAAAGATTGAGGCTGGATAATTCAAAGTTTTGAAAATGTGTGTGAGTTTTGGTCTTTAACTTTCCGGGTCAGTCTTGCTGAGATCATGTAATTAATTTTACTGTGTAAATTAACTCTTAAATGCACTCAGTTGACAAAGAGGAGATGTGTCCCTGTTACCTCCTTACAAAATGTGTGTTTCTGTTTATAGGGGTTTTTGTTTGTTTGTTTGTTTTCCTATGGGCCTTTTAGCTTCAGGCTCATGACTGCAGACAAAAAATACAATATGTGCCTGAAAAAAATAAAAAAGACAAAAGAATTTTATAACATTAAAAACCTGAATAGCCTTTAATTCTTCAATATCAGTTCATTTTATGTAAAAGTTTTAGGGTTCTTTTTTTTTTTGCCATGTGCATTTGTTCACATTTGTAAATGACTTAATGGAATTCTCACTTTATGTTTATTTGTAATGTGTATAAAATGGGTTTGTGACTTAAGCATATTCATATATGGTCAGTGGTTACTTTAATATTGTACTGCTGCTGGTAACTTTTGATGTAGAACCTGCCTTTTGATGATAAAGTACCTCTTGATTAGACAGGGAGGGAAGGCTCTTTGAAAAAAAAAATGAATGTTTTCAAATGTTTTCTTAACATATTTGCAAAAGCTTTCAAAAGGAGTTCCAGTCAAACCTCTTGGCAGTACAGTATTCTTGTATTTGTTATTGTCTGTGTGTAGGTACTGGTACCTTTTTTGTTTAAAAATGTTTTAAGTGTTGGCTTTAAAGTGAATTTATCTTTAGTATGATAGTAATATGAAAATTATAGGTTTTGTGTGCAGAGAATTTTTTTATAAAGTGCTTTGTAAAAAAAATGTATTCTAGCTTTCGCGGTACATATGTGTGATAACTTTAATATCCATGACAGTTAAGTGCAATTATTTCATCACTCTAAAAATGCTATTTTTGTGTCGGTTACTGCAGGTGTTTTCATGTCTTTGCAAAGTGACACATTTTGATGCCTTCTTGATAAAGTGGTAGAATTTTTGTAGCTTTCTAGAAACTTTGTATTCATACAGTATCGATTGAAAATAAAGAAAATGAAAGTGTTGGCTGCATTTGTTTTTAATCGGCACATAAGAATGGGATTGAAAACAGTCAGCACATACGCCTAAGCTAACCAACAGGAAATATGTCTCAAGTACTACTCCTCTCCCAGACTTACGCAACTCACTTTGGGCTACAGAGGTGCATATGCTTCCAGTTGGGATTCACAATCCTTACTCCTGCCCTGAAGATGGGTTACTAAGCCAGCTCTGCCTCACAGAGCAGAGTGGTGGAGCTGGCTCTCTATTTATTCGGTATCTTGGTGGTCAGAGTTTTCACACAAGACAGGCAAGACCCAGGGTCTAATCTGAGGTGAGCTGAACTTGCATCTCCTACCTCCCACCTGAATGCACTAACCACAAAGCTACAGGATAAGTTGCTCTACGTCCCTCTTGTTAACCTGTTCTAAATTTACCAAATAAATGAATATTCATGAGAGAAAATATAACTATATGATCTCATAGTTAGTGTACTCACCTGGAAGGGCAGACTTATTTTCCAGTCATTGCTCCAGTGAATGCTCACTCACCCAATAGCTTGTATTTTGTGGGCTCTAAGAAGGCCTACTAGATTGAGCTCTGCAAAGGAAATAGAGAAATGTCTAATGGATGGTTCCCAAGCTGGCGTGAACACTACACTATCAGCCTCTAAGTGTCCCTAGCAGGAGAACCTTAAATACATATGGAATTTAC